GGCCTCTTGGTTATTCAGAGGAAGTTGTTTAAAGATTTTAACATATTTGACCCCTGTGACCTTGAAAATTGATGAAGGTCATTTATTTGAACAAACTTGGTAGCCCTTCATCCAAGCATGCTTCTGGCCAAATATCATCACCCTAGGCCTTTTGGTTACTGAGAAGAAGTTGTTTAAAGTAAAAAGTTGACGCCGGACGGACGACGGACGCCGCACCATGCCATAAGCTCACTTGGCCTTTTGGGCCAGGTGAGCTAAAAATGAGAGAAAATCTTCAGACAAAAAATCAAATACTGAAATGAACAAAAGGCAATAAATTTTGAAAAAATCGTTAAATCAAAATTCTTTTAAGGGAGACACAACTTCATATCATGATTATAAAGTATACCAAGTTTCAAAGAGATCCATCGAAAAATGTAGGAGGAGATTTCCGAACAAAAATAAAATCCTGAAATGATCAAAGGGCAATAACTTTTGGAAAAACTGTTGAATTAAAAATTTTTTTAAGGGAGACATAACTTCATATCATGATTATCATGTATACCACGTTTCAAAGAGATCGGTCGAAAAATGTAGGAGAAGATCTCCGGACAAAATTCAAATACTGAAATGAACAAAGGGCAATAACTTTTGGAAAAAATGTTGAATCAAAATTCTTTTAAGGGAGACACTACTTCATATCATGATTATAATGTATACCAAGTTTCAAATAGATCGGTCGAAAAATGTAGGAGATTGCCGGACAAACAAAGTTTATGTCGGCCGGACGAACAACGCCATACCATGATACTAATGTCAAATTTGATGGTAGAATAAAAATTAATCAGAAAATAAAGTAATGAGAAAAATGCGGATTAAGCCTTACCCAGGTCATAAATTCTCAAATTTCAAAATAACATCAGTAATAATAAATGTAAGTTTGGTATTTTCATCAGTAACAACAGCGAAAATCTGCAAAACAGCATGCAAAACTTGCTCAAAATTCCTCTGAACACTGAATACAAACAGAAACAAGCTGTTCTTTTCGGTTGATGTTTGATGGTTCAGCCCTAGTGATAAATCAATGATGAAAAATAATCAAAAGTTAGCGAAAAAATAAAATAAAACTTATTCTTGATGATAAAATTGAAAAGCTGATTAATAAGTTATGTTTGTGAACATTTGGGAAACCTTTTGACCCCTCCCCTCAACTCTTAGAGGGTCAGCCCTATGTCTGGAAAGCTTGAACCAATCAGAATTGAAGTACACTCATCTTTTGATTGACTTGGACATTGACAAATTACGATCTAATTTGGGGATAAAAACAATTATTAAAACATTAACAGACTAAAAATGTCTGTAACACATCAATGTCCCTGCAGCTTAAACTTTACACAACTATTGGAAAGTGAGGACAAACATTCTTTTTTAAATTAAAAGAAAAAGAAACAACATTAACTTAAAAATATATATTATAGATAAAGAATACTTGTAAAATGTTGCTGCTTGATGGTTCTCACCCATCCACTCTGCAATCTACAACACAAACATCCCTGTTGATGCCTAAATGTAATGCTACAGTGCCTATAAACAATAAATCAAGGAGCTCAATGATGGAAATATAGCGTAATTGGTCTGTGATCAAACTTCATTTTTAAATTGGAGTGTTACACAACAGTCAGCTTAGAATTTGATATCCTGTCTTTCAGTTTTCAGATACTGTATGTACACAAGTTTCATGCAAGTGAACTAGGAACAGAAATTCCAATGTACAAAGTTTTTCTATCATCCAAAGTTCAGCTGTTTATATCAGATTACTGTATAGAAGTACATGTACATGTTTATTTGGTGAATATGTGTTTACATTATTAATAGGGTAAATCTCAAGTAATCCTCAAGATTCTTCATTCTAACACAAAATTCTGTACTTACATCCTCGATATTGGGTATGGTGGCAGACACAGCTATGAAACGGAGTTTGGGTAGGGGTTGCTCAGTGTTAGAGTGAGATAGGGAGACCTGTACAGTCTTCATCCTGCTGATCACAGCCTCTATTGTCGCTCCCCGCACATTGTCATTCAGAACATGGATCTGTAGTGACATTTTACAAATCTGCACATCCACAGCAAAACCTTTCATGCTAGGTATCTAATTATTAACAAAGTTGATGCCTTTGAAAAAGGTTTGGTGCAGATGTCAATGTATATCTTCAGTTCTCCCATTGAGATTGTATTGAGGTAATATTTAAAATCACAGTACTACAGTAGATTGGAGGAAAAAAATGTTTTGGCTAGGGGTAACTTTCAGGAACAAATATTCAAAAATATTGTTGATATCCCAAGCTTTACTTCTGAAATGAAGACTATAGACACTTACTATCGCATACAGTATGTGTCCCCTTTGTCCCTATCTTAGTCAGATGTCATATTTTGCATAGATATGGTAATGATATTGATAGATTTTCATAATCATTATGATTCAATAAAAAAGAGAAGTTTATAATCACGGAGAATGAACTTGTGACAAATACGCTAAAACTCTACACCATCACACAAAAGCACACTACAGTAACTTAATTAATGCTTTATCCAAACTGAACAGTTATAATTGTAAGAAAACAGTTAATACAGTAACTTAATTAATGCTTTATATAACCTGAACACTGAACAGTTAGAAACAGTTAATACCTCATCTATAAGGAAGAGGCACACTGACTGGACAATACATTTGTTGTCCCGCCAGCGTCGTGTCATGCTGTCCCATTTCTCCTACAACACATTCATTTTGATATCACAAACTCTGTATGTCAGTGTCACAAAATGATGCATTTAATATAATACGTGCATTAGTGATTACGTTGATAGTGATATGTGGATATTTCTTTATTGATCAAAGTTCATATATCATTCAAGTATGATAATGCTTTAATGGAGTTTTTACTGTAAGGTTTTATAGAAAAATTAGAACTTTTAACCAACTTAAGCATGTGATGAGATTTGTATCGTTTGCGATGCTTTATTATGGTTTTCAGAGTCATATTTGTGCTCCACGGCAGGGAGTTATCTTGTGACAATCAAACTCAAATTTTGGCAATATATATTTATAGGCAAACTAGTTTCTTAGGTTTCCTTCAGATAGTTTTACAATGTTTTTATTCTATTGACTAAACTCTAGATGAATTCAGAAAAGATTATGTTTGACACTTACAGGGGTTGTGAGGATCACATTCACTTCCTGCAGCTCATAATAATTATCTATTTCTGTATCACCAGTTAGTTCTTTACACTTCAGGCCAAATGACTCAAACTTGTCCGTCCAGTCCTGTAATCTCTCACTGCATAAGGCCTTGATGGGAGCCACTTAAAACAAAACATTATATCATTACCACAGTAGGGAATAAGCCTTATTTCAGAAGTCAATCTAATTTCTGGTATTTTGATTTAAAAATTTCTAAATAGATCCCTCCCTGAAACCAGAATTAATCTTAAGGTATGTTTGAAAATAGTTTAAAATTTCTCAAGACGCAAACAGAGTGATATATTATCCAGTTTTGTGTTGTTATCAACTGGTACTTTTCACAAGTATAAATATGGTACGTGCAACAGTTTGTGATTGAAGTCACTTCTTTTTCAAAAGCTGCCTTTAGGAATAAAACCCCAAAAGCACAGATTACTTGTCCAACGCTCCAACTAATTACACTGGTTCATCACTGTAATAAGTCGGCTATAGAACAAGACCTCGTCAAAAAAACACTTTTTAGTTGGCATGGTATCTCAATATTTTTCCACCTGTAGTTATAAACTTCTATTTCTGAGGATTTACTAAGTAATAAAAGACATGGTGGTCAGTAGAAAATAGGTGGTTATCAGTGACTTGGCTAGTGCCTTTCCTTATCTCTATATTCATAAACAAGTACTGTATATGGTCCAGATTGCTTCTAGTTGCAAAAGTGTATGTGATTCATACATTGTTAATAAATGCAACACATGTAAGGTAACAAGATACGGTCTAAACCAAATGTCTAACCTTTGCCCCATTTTGATGATGACCACTCTGGGATTTCAAAAAAAAATTCTGATTAAAACTTGATGTTTAGCATCAAACATTCACTTGAGTTTTAAATAATGTAAAACATTAACTTATTTTCAAAAGTAATGTTGTTACATTGACTTACTATAGACAATCTTGAAGCCTCTCACCACAACACTCTCCATCTTCATGATAAGTCTAACAACGGCCAGCTCAAATATGACTGTCTTACCAGATCCTGTGGGAGCACACACCACAAGGGGCTTGTCAGTGTAGAAAACCTAGGAGAAAAGCGTAACAACATACAGAGCACACATTTATTCCAGCAAAAATTGTTCTACTCACTCAGCATGTGCAGATTACTTTAGGAAATTAACTGTATCATACATCAATAAGTGATTCGCTAGATACATATTTTTGAGACAACTCCTTACACTGAGAGTCAATTAGCACACCTGACAAGTTCCTGAGAATAAAATGAGGATCACAGATGATCATGTGGGTTATAATCAAGGACTCCATGCAGAATCAGGGTTTTCCCTGTCTCCTCTTCTACAGAGTCAACCGAGACTACCAAATTAATCTGCAGCAATAGTCTGATTGAAATACACGTACAAGAAATCTCATTTCCCCCCCAGCCTTTTTGTGAATTTATCTTCATGGTGTCTAATTTTGCAATGATCAGATGATCATGATCCGTGTGTTGTGAAACTCAAAACAGTGTCAGAAAAATACAAACCTTAACTCATTCACCCCTGAAGACACATATGAACTCCTCCAATGCAAAGGTTGGAATAGTTTATTATGAAATTTCAGGGGTGAATGAGTTAAATAATTTTAATACCTAAAATACTACATGCTTTGCATTACTACACTTACATCATCAAACACTTTAGACTGTACAATGTTGAAATAAGGGAATGCCTTGAATATGGTCCTGTATTTGACAGCTGTTTTTACATTGAATTAAGGAAACATATAAAGAAAACAACTGAACACACTTATATATTGAATATTTAAATCTAGTTGATTTAGGAACTGAATAACTGAAAGAGGTTTAACATTAAATTGTTTCCAATCAGAATTAATTGCAAAATATTTTCAAAACTGGATATAACATATACTGAAATAAAGCCTCTCAAAATAATAGCTACGAAGATGATTTTCACTGCTAAATGTGCTGTACATATAAATTTAAATGACTTATATTTCATAGGATATAAATGTTGCATTTTGTCTTAATTCACAAGTCTATTCAACCATTAAGGTCATAGGAGTGTATTAATAAACGGAAATAGGAAGTACATCCGTAGTTGAAAATCCAATGTAGGGAGACAGTATCACAATTTCCGCATATTCTTATGTTTAATATTAAACGATGAATATTGTATGTTTATTATTGACAGAACAGGGTGTTCTCTCAATATTAAAGTATTTCAAAGCAATCCAGGCATAAATTCAGATGTTTTTTTATCAATGAGTCACATGTGACTGTGTCCATTTTTCTGTACTTCAGGAAACCGGCTAACTATTTCACTACTGTGAAGTTTTTCAAGAAAGATAACTCTTACATTCAATTACTATGTGTATACGTTTTTTAAATATTATAAAATGTCAATTTTTAATCGTTTATAGAGAATTAATTTACACAATTTCAGCATTTATTAAATTGATCTACATTAATGCAATACTAATCTATGTCAGTATAATTTTTATTGACATCATTTTGGTGAGGTTTTTTTTCAAAATTCAAACCTTTTTACATAAATTTCCATTTAAAATCCTTAAAATTCTGACAACCTATATTTTTTTGTAGCAGAAAGTTTTCTTAACTTCAAAGCAATTTAACTACAAAATTTGAAGAAATTCTACTGAGAAATGGTGACACAATCCTATTACCTTAATTCAAATATCTTATAATACTAATTAACTACATTGTCTTTGTTAAAACTGTTCACCTTCAATAAGGCCAAAGTATCACTTATTACATTAGACTTAAATCTAAATCTTCTAGCAACGACAGAAAAGCATTATCAAAGTTCCATTATTTATGGAGCCTGATAGGGAGACTTTCTTAAATTTAAATAAAATACCTATATACATGATATTGCTCAATGTGAATTTTTTTGGGGAGGAAAGAAGTCTAGGCAAAATTGTGAAAATAATACAGACAATAAGTGAAATGATAAATGATGGATTAAAATCAAAATGACAATAGCTCACTTGAACTTTTGATTCTGAAGAGTAGTAAATAAAACTTCAGCCAAAACAGAGCCATTGTACCTGAAGCTATTCCGTCTTTGCGTATTGCAGAGTTATCTTCTCTTGAGAGCAGGTATTGATTGTTACGTCATTTGTTTGTGAGAGTAACGTCATCAATTTTTGAGAAAACGATTTAATTTTCTCACACGAACCAATGGCGTAACAATCAATACCTGCTCTCAAGAGAAGATAACTCTGCAATACGCAAAGGCGGAATAGTGATCTTGCAGTCTGCCTAGAGGATACATGAAAACATCGATGACAATACCAAGTTAGTGGAGTCACAGAACAGTCAGGAACTACTAGTAACAAACAGGGGAAATGATTACTTTCATCTTTACCTGGCAGTTTCCAAATGTTTGTGCATGAGAAAAAAAATGTTCAAAGATGAATAAATAAAGGATACGCAGCTCTTCAACTGGTTTTAGCGCGAAACCATCACAGCTTGGAGCGGGTACTGTCAGAAATGAAAATCAGGCATACAGTCCACATACCAAAGTTATAAGAAACATTTAACATATTAGACCAGATGGGGTAAGCAATTTAACTACAAAATTTGAATCGATTTTGATCCACTATATAACACAATTCGATTTTCAATGACACAGCTTCTTAAAGTCCAAATATGGTCATGATTTACTGAAATATCTATTCCTAGTGCTTGACAGAATTTTTTCAACATTTTGTAACTTCTTTTTCATTCCTTTAAAGTTACAGCACAAATGTATCCCTTTTTACAAATATTCTATCCACAGTGTATCTTATAGAAACTGTATATAATTGAATTTAATTCATTGAATAGTTTCTTACACAATTCCCAAATGATTTGAAATCTTGAAGCAAAACATGAGCTAGAATATTATACAAACCACAAGAAACTTACAGATCAGTGGAGCTGGTGTAAATAGTTTGTCTTTTACTGATACCACAGGAAGAGTGTCAGTTCTGGAGTCAAACAAGTCCTCATCGCTCCCAACTTCTGTATCATGCCTCACACTGCTCTTCAGTGGAGTGATGCTGGCAAAACTGTGAAAGCTGTCCACTCTGGTTATTGATGGGGTCTTGAAGATTTTACTTGAAATAATTTGCATTGAGATTTTACAAATGAACTTGAGATGAACAAACTATTTCTTTTCAATATTTTGTAAGGGAGACAGTTATAGGAAATCTTTACCATCGTAGAAAATACTTAACAGGTAAACCATGTACTTTGACCCTGGAAAAAAGTAATAACATTTGTTCAAGAAGAGATAAAGCTTGACTAAGATTTTAAAAAATCCAAAATTTATGAATTTAATATATTATGTCATTTTTCAAACAGTTAGACAGATATATATCCATTAAATGCCTATAAATGAGAGTAAAGGTCAGACTGTATCGCAATAGACGTTAATTGTACTGAAATAGCAATAATGCAACATTTTCTTTCTATGAAACATTTGATAAATCTGCATCCTTGTACACTGAATAATGATGCTGCACTGGTAGTCTTGAACCACAGAGTAGCGGAGATCCCTATCATTGACATGGTTACCTTATCTTTGATCCGATGCTTTTATCGTCATGGAAGTTTTGTTGGTTTTTATTCTTCTGAATATCTGTAATTGAAATGAAAGAAAAAGAATTGGTACATTGCATCACAAGATGGCTTGTTTTGCTCGCCAGTTCTATTACAAAATGAAGACCTTTGAAGAATCAAATCTGCAGTTGTCCAAAACAAAACATCCAGTATCCTGCAGTAAATTTTGATCCTTGGGCATGTAGCTTTTTGCTTGTTAATGATCTTTATTCATGTTTGAACAGACTACTATCTTGTCATTGCTACACACATTTCATAGACATTACCTTTCGATGAATGCTGAAAGAGTTGCGAGGGCTGAAAATCAAATGAATCTTGAAAGACAGAGGGCAACAATGGAGCCTCACTTGCTACAGGAGCCTCGGGGATATCAATATACTGGGATCTAGTGGATGGTGCTTGTGAGAGCTGAGGCCTGGAAATAAAACACATATCAAACAATTTAAAAGTAGCATGTCTCCCTTTTAATTCACCTGTTTAAGATTTCTCTGTCATCTCCCATGGCATAACAGATATGACATCATTAAATTTTAGGCTACTGTTATGTTTAGACCCTGCTGTTAGAAATCATGATTCCCCCCNCCCATGACCTTTAATCTAGGACCTTGACTTTCGATAGGGTTTATCATCATGCTGGTCCAATGAACAAACAAAATTCCGATGGATTATGGATTATTTAATTATTAACCCAACTTTTTCCACTCCCCCGCTGCTCTGTTGCGAACGGAAGGGGTTGGTGAATTACTTAACCTTTTCTGCGACAGATTATAGTTTGGTTGGTAGAACAGCTGGCTAAGATCCATCCTGAACTTGAAGCAGGTTTCCTCCTCGACAGAAAGATGAAATTAAAACAAAAATTCTGAAGAGAAAAAATGGAATTCATTAAAACTTTTTAAAGCAAAAGTTTAAAGACCGATTACTTTATTCACTTGATCTTAGAACTTACAGCAGTGTTCCCACCGAGTTGTAGATATGGGGGTATATTTGATATATTTTCACGATTCTATACCATATAGGTTCTGAGTAATAAAGGTCAATTCTTGGAAACTGAGAGTAACGTTACCGTTACAGCAAACTGGTTGTGGTTGGGGTTGGTTTTTTTTGGTGGGTGGCATTTAGGGGTTGGTTAAAAATCGTTTCTGGGAACACTGTTACAGTTCAGAATATGAGTATTTTTGACTTTTACATAGAAGACGAATCTAAAAGCATTACATTATTTCAATTATTCCAATGACTTCATCATCGTAACTCGTCGAGAGGCCGGCCCCTTTAGCAGACGATCTTCTTTCTGCTCGACAGCGCAACTGAGCGCCACCTATCCGTGATCGACGAAACTCAGTAGCTTTGCGCACAAACTGTTTCGTATTTTTCTACCGCAAGTGTAATTAGCACCAATATAAACTATTATCAATAAGTTAAGTTGATATTTTTAAATCTTAATTATCATATTAACGCATATATTTTAAAAGATTGGTATTAGGAAGCACACATTACTACATACTAAAATGTCTGGAATAGTCCCGAGTTATAAACTTTCCCGAACGAAACTCTAGTGTTCCGAAGAGCCATTGTTGCTGGGTTTATTATTCAAATCACCATTGGTTTTTGTTGGCCAAAAAGTAGAAGGGTCAGAAATAGTTCTTATTGGTGAGAATCACTGTCATTTGTTAATCTGTTGCACGTTATTTTCAACATAAATGAGACAAATGAAAGTAGTTTGCTGAGGATTTATATGGTGAGGGTTCGTAATTATTGTCATAATCAGTCACCACATACAAATATAAAGTGAGATTTTAAAATTCATCCTGATTTATGTTATTTTTCGTACACAGACGAGATTTTAAAATTCATCCTGATTTATGTTATTTTTCGTACACAGACTCGTTGAAGAATTTTAGTTTGGTTTGATTTGGGGTGGGGTTGTTATTTGTTTTATATTATTAATGAGGAAGTATTGGTTTCTTTGACATGTGTCTACCCGAGGTACAGTTGTTACGGCAGTAGCGGATCACTTTGCATATAATTGCTACACACGATTTTTGCAAAACTTTTAAAGACATCATATATTTTCAGAAAGTACATTTAATTACCTCTCCAGTGATACCAAAAGATCTTCATAAACTCAAATATACACAACGTAATTAGGAAAACAAGACCTACCGATTTGTCGGCTATAGCGGATCAGTACGGCTATAACGGATCACGCCCTTTGGCGGGCCTTTCACTCACGATTGAAGTTAGATGGGACGTCTCAAAACGTATTTTTCAGAGGTTACTGATCGCATCTAATTATTAATTGATGCCTTTGCAACGAAAACACTTTAAATATAACTTCAATACATGTGCCAACTCTCAAAACATATGTAGAAATTTGAAATCGTGAATGCACGTGGAACGATGCTATGCGAATGCATACGCGTGCGCAGATGAACACTGATCCGTTATAGCCGAAAAATCACATATCGGATACGACACAATAACGCATGTAAGCATTATCCAAGATTACCAAACAATACAAGATCCTGAAACAAAACAATATAATTCATCATTTAAATGCATATTTATTTGGTTGTAAGTTCGTATTTTAATAGAATCCATTTCTTTATCGAACCGTCCGTTTTCCAAGATGGCGGACATCGGTAGAGGAGCAGATTGAGAAAATATAAAATTTGGGATTTCTGGACATGATACGCATATGAAGTTATTTTGTTTGTTTGTTCATTATAAGAAACAACTTGTTACCATGTGCAAATAATTAGTTTCTTTCTAGGATCAATACATTTTGTGTAAACAGCTTTTGTTTATTGACTGATCCGCTATAGCCGATGATCCGCTACTGCCGTTTATTCCAAGTTGCTGGTTAATGATACAGATAGTTGATGCCAGAAAGCTGAGTTAGTTGATTCAACATTTATCATTCACATCACTTGTCTTGCTTGTTGTAAGCAAATTTTATTGATTTTTACTGATTATCCTGTGTTATGAATTCATGGTTTAAAGTTTGTGCTCATGTATTTTGTGAGTAAAGGATATGTACAACTGTTCAGTGCTCCTCCAAACCAATTAAATTAGTTAACCTCCCCTCATCCACCCAAAGTAGTTGGTTTAGATTGTGTCCCAGTTTTAGCTCACCTGGTCCGGCGTCAATATTTTACTTTAAACAACTTCTTAATAACCAAAAGGCCTAGAGTGATGATATTTGGCCAGACGCAAACTAGGATGAAGGGCTACCAAGTTTGTTCAAATAAATGACCTTCACCTATTTTCAAGGTCACAGGGGTCAAATATATTAAAAACTTTAAACAACTTCTTCTGAATAACCAAAATGCCCAGAGTGATGATTTTTTGGCTAGTAGCATGCTGGGATGAAGGGCTACCAAGTTTGTGAAAATGAATGACTTATATTCAAGGTCACATTGGTCAAATATGTTAAAAACATTTAAACAACTTCTTCTCAATAACCGTAAGTTCTAGAACGATGATATTTTACCAGTATCAAGCTGTGATGAAGGGCTACCAAGTTTGTTCAATCGAATGACCTTCACTTATATTCAAGGTCACAGGGGTCAAATATGTTTAAAACCTTTAAACAACTTCTTCTCAATAACCAAAAGGCCTATGGTGATGATATTTGGCCAGTAGCATGCTGTGATGAAGGACTACCAAGTTTGTT